GGTTGCTGTGTTGCAGGTGCAGTTAGTCCAGTGTGTGATCCAACACAGCTGCATTGTCTACCGACCAGAAGCAGCGCTGAAACTAGATCTCGTGGTGTAGCTTTACCGTTCTGCCTCTGTTCGTGTGTGTGTGTGTGTGTGTGTGTGTGTGTGTGTGTGTGTGTGTGTGTGTGTGTGTGTGTGTGTGTGTGTGTGTGTCAGGTGGTTCTGTGATCGGGCGCTCTCCGCTTTCTTGTTTTTGTTGTCAGTGTCGGTACACTGAGTTTATCATTAGATGATCCTTGTGGGCAGAGGATGACATTGTCAACATCATTGCTTCCCGTCAGAACTACAGTGGGCTTGAAGACGCATACTAGTAGGGTAAACATTGGTGGAGGGCAGTGCAAGTAGTATTAGCATAACATGCATAGCATCCACGTGAGTTCATTGCTATTCACCAGTGGCAACAGCAGCAGCAGTAGCAGCAGCAGCAATAGCAATAGCAGTCAGCGGCAATTACTACTCTTGCTGTGGTGACTGTTACTGACACCCGACTACTGATAACTTAGTACATCCTTTTCTGGGTGGAATAAGTGATTTGGTCCACTCCTTATCACTGCATGCTTCTAGCCTTTGACTCGTCGATTTGTGTCTGAAACTTTCTTACTTGCCAACATACTTGTCACACAGTACAGAGCAGTAGCAGTGTATGCTGTACATGGTTACATGGGTTGGATCAGTGTTTCTGCCCGATGATTGTGGCCTGTATATGTGACAGGAACCCATTAAAACTGCTTATAGCTTAAGTAAGTAAGTCCCCTCAGCACATGTCTGTCCACACCGATAGAACTTAAACGCTCATCATTGCAAAGGTATATTCTGATGAGCTTGACAGTGTGAACAGTCCGCCTCTTTCCGCTTGATACGACATACTTACAACTCAGCTTTTCGACTGATTTACGAGAACGTCTGCTGCTAGTGGTTGCTTATCTTGCACATTTTCAGCAGGGTATGGGGCGGAAGACACTAAGGGCACTTGAGAACTGGCACTGTGTCCTCATTAGACTCATGCTCCTGGAGTGCTTTCAGTGAACCTGTCGTGTACTAGTGCTACCCGGACACTGCATGAGGACTGTAGACTGTATCATTGTGCAGTTGTGTACACTGTATGTACACTGTATGTACACTGTGTGTACACTGTATGTACACTGTGTGTACACTGTATGTACACGCCGATATGGACACTGCATGTACATTGTATGTACACTGTATATGCACGCCGATATGGACATTGCATGTACATTGTACACTGCATGTAGACTGTCTGTATACAGTATGCACACTGCCCTGGCCAAGCAGCATGTTGAGTTCTATGAGTACACATAGTGCACCTGCAGTCATCTACATGCACATGCAATGATTGTTGAGACAGTTACTTGCAGTCACACCGTGATGTCGGCAGTCAGTATACACATCAGCACACCTACAATCATGTACTGTACAGGCAGAACATTTCGTCGCTCAATAATTTCGTCCAACTCCAAAGAAAGGGAGTTTGTCCGTTTGTAAATTTCGTCCATGGATCATAAGAGCGTATAGAAAAGTTGGACAAATCGACATTAGTCCGGCATTTAATTCAGTCCAAACGCTCCTTGGACGAAAAAGACGAAATTAAATTCCAGGTGAAAATTTCTGCTTATACAGTATACTGTGTACTGTGTAGCAGTATGACATGCTGACAGTGCGCATCCATTAGTACTGGCCAATGCTTCATTGTATTGTTAGTGTTTAGGATCGTTGTTCAGTCACACAGTCACACTCCTGTTTGCTGTGCTGGTGTGGCGATGTGTTCGTAGTGTACAGTGGAAACCACCCAGGTGCATTCGACCTCTCATTGTACTAGACACTGCGGCAGCACTTAAGTCGTTTTCCAGTATCCCCTTTCACAAATACTAGATCTGATACTGGCACAGCGGGGGACTTTTTAAATGACTGGCATGAGTCAGCATCACAGGTGCGGTGAATTGGGTAGGCCGTCCCTGTATGCATATGTACAGTAAACTGTGGGCGTATGTGTATATGTACATGTGCATGTATGTGGGTGTCCATTTTTACAACTGATATGTTTCCTTGGTGAGGACCCAACAGCTTCCATTGTGCGTATCAATTTTATATACATGTACATGTACGTGCGTGCGTGTGCATGTACAATGTACATGTGTGTGTGTTTGTGCATATGTCGGCGTTAAGCTCCTACCTCATTAGCGTGCCATGGGTGCGCTAATTTGATTAAGTGTATATCGTCTGTACTATCTATTATGCGGACTGTATTGACCTTCCGCTCTAATCAAGATCACAGCCCAATTAGCGCTGTTTAAAACTGCCTGTGGTGGTAATGTGATAATTGTCAGTCATGCAGGTGCTCTATTAGCTATTCATATTCGCAATCAATCTCATAATGGATTGGCCTGTATTTCGTGTTTCTCAATGACTGGCCGTGATGGCTACCTTTGATTGGGTACATGCTGATGAGCATGATATCAGCATCACCAATACAGAGTCAATGCCTGCTTCCGTGTCACCACAGCCGTGGTTTGCTCGCCCCGCTTGTACCATGCCCCGCCGTGATGAACTGGATGCTATATCTGGGCATCGAGCATTTACATGAAACGAAAGAGCCAGAAATATTGCTACAAGGTGCCCTGCGGTGGTGGTGGTGGTGATGGGGGAAGGGGGACCGTGTCACACATTATGGAATAGCAACATTACATGCCCATCATCATTACAGGGTCTCTCCTTCGTCTTCCTTGGGTCCAGGTGCCGGGATTTGTTTCGTATTGTTGCACTGAACATGCTGCGTTGCAGAGGGAAGTCGATGAGCTATTGGATCGACGGACGCTAAGAGTATTCTGCATGGGAAGAGTACCTGTGGGTGATGTGCGTGTCAGACAGGGTAATAGTTTTGTTAACAATGCGATGTCATTCAAAGTCGGAAGATACTAGTACCAGCGCACACCCTGGTGCGAACCGTGCCCTTCTTGTATCTCTTTCACAAAGTCGACGTAAGATATTTGCGTATGTGTGTACGGCGTAGCCAGGTTGCGTCAGTGTCGGCTCTTTCCGTGAACAGCCCTCATACCTTGGTCTATGGGCACCAGTTCTGCTTTCCATCGTTAATGAACCTAGTTGGAAAAATATTTTCATATAATTATTATAAGACCGTGCAGCCAGCACCCGCTGTGAGGAGTAATGTACTTATGTAAGTTCACGAGGGACATTTGAGATGACTGCGGCAGATCAGCCGCGCTGACAACCAATCTCTGCTAGACGTGAAAGCTGGTACTTCCCGTGAAAAGGTTTCACAGTTGGGGACAAGGAAAGTGCATGCGTATGTTCGGGGTATCGCAAGTGCTGACACTGTCGTCGGTGGTCTTATCAGGAACTTGTAAAGTACTATTGAATACCAGAGCCCGGCATCCTTAGTTCATGATATCCATGTATGTTCGCACATGTACATTATGATGTGAACATACTCTATGGCGGTAAACATTCTTACTCTCTCCCCAGTAGCTGAGTGCCCTGTGAATACCTTACTCGAAGCAATGCAAACAGAATACATCATTACCATTGGTGTCGCACTGTAGATATGGCGGTTGACTGCCGGTCCTGACGCTGGGGCACCTGTCGATGACCATGACATCTGGCAGCAGCCTGGTGTGATGTTTGAGCAAATTCTATTCAACTGATGATTGCACCAGGCATGCAATAATGTTTCACTGACATGCAGGGTACAGGTTTGTGATTGAATTTGAAATTTGCAATAGATTGACGAGAATGCTATCACTCCATAGGTAACTTGTTTACTTCATAGAATTTCATTCAATGCTTTGGGGAATCAGCTGTGGTAAACACTTTCACCTCTGCGCCCTGGGTTCACTCTTGCCTCTAAAGGGCTACATGCTTCTACACGAACTCACACTCATCACGCGACCTTGCCATAAATAGTAAATACTTTCAAGCTTCTATCTTTGCATCTCTCTCGCGCTCTCTCTCTAAAACTGTAAAAGTCAAAAAAAAACGAAAAAGGATGGCACATGCGCCTCACAAGCGGAGCTGGGGAAAGCAAATGACGTCGCGTAGAGCCGACGTGAAAAAGGGAAGTAGTAAAATTATAACTAAGTAATCGAGATTCAAATCACGAAGCTCGCGTACGCGACATCAGCGGCAGATTTGGATGGGGAGAGGGGGGGGGGGGGGGGGGGGAGGGGGGCTGGCCTGGGTCCCTCCTGTTGAAATTTTGACCATGGTTTGTATAGCACCGTACAAATCTCAATACACTGTACAACTTGAGTCTCAATAGCTGTACTGGTGACATTCAGAATGTACCCTATACACGTTGCATTCCTTCACTGGATGTCACTGTAATCACTTTGGGCCCCCAGGCAACTTTGTGCATTATGTATCTTGATGAGGAGGTGGCGTTGTAATCCCAGTGTAGTACTTACCCTTGCTTTGGGTGGCCTTGGATCTGCCACGGGTAATGGTGGACATAAATACTGAGTTGATACTGTAAAACGGGTAACGTTTGCGACAATAAATGTTTGCGTTTTACAAATTGAGACTGGTTTGCGCTGTTTATGCTTGCGAGTCGTTCTACAGTCGTTCTACACAGTCGAGTCAGTCCTTGCACTGAACTTTACATGGCCCGAGTTTGCGTTGTTCAAAGTTTGCGATTCGGGGCCTCTCGCAAAATTCGCAAACATTTTTACGTCGCAATAGTTACCCGTTTTACAGTATCTAACCTTTGACAAATGTATCGTGTTCATTAGACCAGGGTGCCTTACCAGGGTTTGTACGACTCCCCGCACAGGACCAACTGAAGATGCCCCTGCAGTCAATCATGATGTCATTTTCATTCCAATGACATCATTGTAATCCATTGCATTTGGAATAATTATTTGTATTCTATACTAATGTCTTGTTTTTTTCTGTTTCCATGTATTGTATAATGGATGGCGCAGGGAAGGCTCACTACCCCATCATTGAGATTATGCAAGAAGTTGAACAGGAGGCAGACAGCGATGGCCTGCCCGAGGGGGTGGGCATTGAGGACAGCCATCCGAGAAATCTGCACAACACCAGCTATAACTTCATGGTGAACGCACTGTTCCGCCTGCCCACCCAGCTAGTGCTGACCGAGGCACCACCGCACAATATAGCCATCATGGTCAGGCTAAAAATAGCCGACGATCCTCTATCAACGGCATACTTCGGAAGCGACGAGGCGAAACGCTCCGGCGGCTATTTGTTTGCAATCCGCGGCACACAGCGACAGAATGTAACGCAATCGGATGCGGATGACAGCGATAATGCACCAAACACCTTAAATCCGCTCGGCGAACACTGGGGAGATAGTCAGCACCAAGAACGCCAGGACCCTGTACAGCTTGGCGTTCGGTTTGGCCGCTACGATAGACGCCGTAGGCTGCGGAACATCACGCTGAACTTCCCGATCCCGATCCAGAACCTCAGCGATGCGGACAACAAGTCAGACGGTGTGGCAACGGTGACGGTGTCTGTGAGAGGGTTTGACAGCAACTGGCATCAACTGGCCATTGCCATCCATGACAATCAGGTGGATGTGTACCTGGATTGCGCTCTGCAGGTCTCGCAGGTGATACCGGGCAACTACAACTGGAGGTTGCCAATGCCACTGGATGTGGAGAATGAGTTCTATCTGGCTTGGTCAGGCGACAAGCGGTACCCGTGTCCACTCGTGGTATGTACTAGATCTGGTGATGCATGTAAAACACTAGTCATACCGCAGTGTCTTGTATTGGGGGTCGTCTCAAAAGTTTCCTGTCGTCCCTGAAACGAACATCGTTCATTTCGTGCTCGGGCCCCCTCCCCTCCCTCTGAAACGAACACAGCTTGCTATGCTGGACGACAAAAATCGCATGCATGTGCACGTCATATGTACAGTGTCGGTCGACTTGCGATTTTGGCTCGCACCCCCTCCCCCCCCCTCCCCCCCCAAAAATGAATCATGTTCGTTTCAGGGACGACAAAAAACTTTTGCGACGACCCCTTAAAGCATGTCTCATATAGAAGCCTTTTTTTTAATACGAGCCTGGTCCTCAAGATGCACTGGTGGAACATAAGACCGGTTTTTGCTGACATACATAGAAATATCTGGTATGAATAGAGAAGCCTGACTTGATTAGAAGCCTAGCACTGACATCAGTTTCTACAGGAGGATGCCTGACTTTGATACACGACACTACGGTATCCTCACAGATAGATGCCGCAATGTTGCATAATACAGCCGGGCTTATTTCTGTAGAAGTTGAGGCGCAGATCAGGATGTCTTTTTCATGTACCAGATTGTATGCGATCGATCCCCGCCAACTCTGTACACCAGCCTAAGCTACATCGTACAACCTTGGCTATAATGCAGGCGCTTGCGCCGGTGCCCTTCAAAGGGGGGGGGGGGGTTCCGGGGGGCCTCCCCCGGGAAAAATTTCAAAAAATAGCACCCTCGATAAACCAGCACAATTTTCAATAGCCAAAAGGTCCTCTTCATGCACATTGTAGCAGTAAATCAGATTTGTTAATCCAGCACCCTCCCTAATCCAGCACCCTCCCTAATCCAGCACCCTCCCTAATCCAGCACCCTCCCTAATCCAGCACCCTCCCTAATCCAGCAGATTTTCCTTAGCACAAATGGTGCCGGATTATACAGGGACCACTGTACTGTACACGTACACGAATGACCCCAAACGTGTTTAGAAGCCCGTCGTCTTGTGCACAAATGCGGCTGCTGTGCATCATCACCATCGATTTTTTTTGGCTGCAATATGCGACGGGCTTCTATTTTTCTAGCTTGCCCCTTGCCCCTGTTGTTGTTGTTGTTGTTGTTGTTGTTGTTGTTGCTGTTGCTGTTGCTGTTGCTGTTGCTGTTGCTGTTGCTGTTGCTGTTGCTGTTGCTGTTGCTGTTGCTGTTGCTGTTGCTGTTGCTGTTGCTGTTGCTGTTGCTGTTGCTGTTGCTGTTGCTGTTGCTGTTGCTGTTGCTGTTGCTGTTGCTGCTGCTGCTGCTGCTGCTGCTGCTGCTGCTGCTGCTGTCGTCGTCGTCATTGTCGTTGTTGGTATGAAAGGCCTCATCGCAAATAGCAGTGGCTTTGCCGTTTCATCTGTTGGCATATCTGCCTTCAATCAATTACTTCGAAGTACCTAATCAAGCCTAATATTTCCCCAAAGTGATAAGTGAATGGCTGCAGTCCCTGTCTTTTACCCAAGCATTGGTAACACTGATGGAGATGATTATGACGCAAACGCAAATGCAGGTGCAGCTGCCTGGGTGATGTCTTATCGCTGGTTTTCCGCTTGCTGTCTGTATGTGTACTGCTTGTCTGGCTGTGCAGGTGACGCTGAACTCTCTGCAGTTGTCCTGGAACCCGGCGGATGCATCGCGCATGTGCGACCAGTGGCTGCCTGATGACGTGAGTGCTAGCATCGCATACCGATCTATTCTTTAAAAAGCTCTGCTGTTGAATTGCAAGGAATGCATGTTTTTTAAATTTTATTTTTACAAAAAAAACACCATTTGCCGGCACAAAGCAGCAAGGCAGCGATGAGACATATAGAATGGCAGGAGTGGGGGAGAGGCAGGGGCAGCTTGACCGACCATAGGGTCTCGGCTTCATTGCAACCCAAGCGTTGTGTCCATGTAGTGTAGGCATCCTGGAAATCTTAACCCTTGGGCGTTACCATAGCTGTCCGAGTAGCCTCCCCCCCCCCCCACATTCTTTTGACAAATCTGTTCACACGAGGAAAATCAGGATCAGGCTGCTACTCTGAATCACATGTCTGTGGCAATACAATGTTCGGGTAGCTGATGCTGAAGAAAAGGAGGTCCCCTTATGCCATTATTGGTTGCCTTGATTTTTAAGATTCCATGAGCATGAAATCGGAGTAGGAATCTGATCCTGACTGGTCTTGTACTCCAACAGCTGTTGCTGCCTTTCTTAGCCAAGATACTCGGTATATCTGAGGTCGGATAACTGCATGGAATGGAAATAGATATGCAGGGTCTTTAACAGAGTGCCTCATGATCCCATGCAAGGAGAACAGTAGGTTATATTGAGTGTTCTGCACAGCAGGCTGCTCCGAATGTCAAGTCAAGAGTGCAAGGTGATGTTAGACTCCACCTCTATGCCCTCAAGTTTGCGACCAGGAGGTATAGCAGAGTACAGGAAATGTAACCAGTATGAGTTACTAGTTACTAGCCCCCCCCCCCCCCACCCCTCTACCCCCTCTACCCCCTCTACCCCCTCTACCCCCTCTACCCCCTCTAGCCCCCTCATGCATACACTCGTGGCTGAACTTCATAGGGCATATCTAGGCCTCTGAACACACCGTGGACCGTGCATGGCGCCTGGGACCATGCAGGGGACCTTGGACCATGTAACCGTGCAATGATATCCTGGACTGCTGGATGCAGTGTCTGGACTGTGTAGGGCAGTGTGCATGATTATAGGGTTTGATGGGGGGGGGGGGGGGTGGGGGGCTGAGGAAGGCCACCAATTGTATTATTCCGGCAAGTGGTAAACAATTGTCTAGACCCATGAGCAGATATTCACCTGTTATTGTTGTTGTTGTTGTTGTTGTTGTTGTTGTTGTTGTTGTTGTTGTTGTTGTTGTTGTTGTTGCTGCTGCTGCTGCTGCTGCTGCTGCTGCTGTTGTTGTTGTTGTTGTTTTAATATCAGGATGAAGACAGTCATAGCCAGTCATCTGGCAGCAGTGGCAGTGGAAGCGGTGATGGCTTTGGCAGCGGAAGCGGCGATGGCTTTGGCAGTGGTAGTGGTAGTGATGAAGACCCCAGCTCATCATCCGGTCAAGCTCCTCAGCCAGACAAGCCACGTCGCCGATGCTCGCGTAGACCGACGCCGGCGGCAGCATCACGAGGCCAAAGCAGCCGACAAGACAATGCCCATAATACCGAAGCCGACAGGCAAAGTGTTGACAACCGCCGTGTGAGTATGGCAGTATGCAGATTCCCACTTGAACCCCGCACGGGGAGAACTATATTTTTCAGTAATATTCTCTACAATTTTCATGACATTTCCTGGCATTGCAGGGACTATTGGGGCATGTGGACATGCCTTTGTGGGTTAGGGTGGGGAGGGCTGGGTATAATGCCTTGTTGGGGGTCGGGTGGAAGAGGTACAGTACCTTTGGGTGGTAGGGCGGGAGGGATACAATGCCTTTTAGGGTGGGGGGGGGGGGAGGTCACATTGCCTTTTTGGGGTGGGGCAGGGAGGGTTAAGTGACTTTTGGGGTGGGGGATGGAGGAAAACAATGCATGCCCCATAGAGAAGTTCAATAATCATGACAGTAGAACCTCCTTTCCCGGGGCGCCTCTGGACCAAGGGGTGCCCATATCTGAGAATCACGGGCGTCTATCCGGCAGAGTTTCCAAGCTGCCCGGAAACCCATCATCTGGGGACACAGCGCGGGCGTCAAGACACATTGAAAACTTCACTGTAATATGTTGAGAGCATGCAACGTGTCAAGTATGGGCATGGAACTTGGTGCTCGATACTTTGGTGCTGTGGGTATGCTACACAACTGTGTTCCCTAATCTCTGGGCCTTTCACCAAGATGCAATTTGCCAGCACAGTGTTGCCTGGTGCCGAAGAGCGGGGATGGTAGGGGGGGGGGGGGTCAGAGCCGTATCCCGGGTCGTTCTTATTTTCATGTAGAGATCTCAACATCGCTGAGCCACCGTGTACATACGGGGGTGTGCTGTACCTGGTAACAATCTAGCCTGTTTGTTCTTCGGTGCCCTGGATCCTGACTTAAAAGCCCACGAGTCCTGCACCCTCCCATATACTCGCCTGAATTATTCAGAACTCGGGAACACAGGGGCGTAGCCAGGATTGTGGCTGAGGGGGGTGCTTACTGGAAGTGTGGGCGTGCGCCGGAAGGGCGCGAAAAATGGGGGGGGTCCGGGGGCCCTCCCCCGGAAAAATTTTCGATATTGAGTGCCAAATCCTTCATTTTTGCATCTATTTCATTATTTTCCATTCCACCAATGATTCAATAAAAAGTCAGATAATCGTATGAAACGCACAGTACTTTGCTACAGAAGTTGGATGGTAAGAGATTGACAGGGTGTGGTTGGACCCAGAATATAATACAGACAATTGGCACTGGCACTGCTGCTACTGGTATCTGGTCTCTTCGACTTCCCTCGACTAAAATACTTCAAGATCGACATTTTCATAAGAATCCATTCGACTTGCGGATCACAAAACGACGTTGACACTTCTCTTTCACTTCTACCAAGTCTAGCTACACAAAGTGCGAGTCTATATACCGGTAGTTGTACAATGCGCAGTGCATCCGAAAACGACCAAACTCACATTCAAAGGCAAAGATCTACACACAACTATACTACCACGGTAGTACTAGTTCAAATTACAGTACCGGTAGTACTACATTGTACTAAAAATTAATAATTTAGCACTACTGCGCCTGTCACCGGCGAGAACATGACTGCATGTGCAGCCATGCATGCAGTCTCAAGTGCAACCTGCATGCGCTACTAGTACTAGTGTAATACAGTTGGCCGGGCCCCGTCGTGCAGCGCAGCGTCGTGTGGCGTCGATCTTGTCGACGTCGAGTCTCGATCGCGGGCGGGCGTAGATCCACAGCAGTACGAAAATGGTACCTGAAATTTTTGAGGGGGGTGCTTGGGCACCCAAAGCACCCCCCCTGGCTACGCCACTGGAACACACCACGACCCTACGTATAATGGATATGGCGTTCAAGTAGTTGTGGTGACCGCCACGAAAATGAAGGACTCTTCATTGTCACAGTTACGCGAGGAGACCTGCATGCAGGGTGCCAAATTGAGGGCGGCAATTGTCTGGACATTGTCATTGGAGATGCGTATAAGAGAGGTTCTACTGCCCTGTCTAATGCAAGCCATAGTGTGTGTGTGTGTGTGTGTGTGTGTGTGTGTGTGCAGCTGCATGGTCCTGGCAGTATGCTGCTACAGGTGTACTGTAAGACCAGATATTTTAACAGCAATTTAAGACACTAATAATTTACGATTTCCGGATTTTTGTTGGTTAGCGAGGTGAAATTCTAATGAATTCTATCTCAAAACCGGCGAATGGCTGTGCATGTACATATCGTTTTGTACATAATGACATCAAATGTAAACGAATTTTTTTAAATCTGTTAAATCGTTAGATTAAATGTTCATTAACATTTAAATGTAGAAAGGAAAAGGGCAAATGGATACGAGTTGAGAGTAACTCTCCATCACTGTAACTGGATACTATTATACAGTCAGAAAGTGCAATAACTAGGCACAAAACTGACAAGAATACTGAGACATTCGACGTCCTGACACCTAGCTTCAACACATCTCCGTAGCGCTAACCAGTATCCAGTATCCAGTTACAGTGATGGAGAGTTACTCTCAACTCGTATCCATTTGCCCTTTTCCTTTCTACATTGCGCAATGGCAGCTAGGAAAATGAATAATGATGGAATGAGGTTGCGGGATGCCCTCGGGTACAGATAACACGTGGTGAGTAATCACTACTGGCATCTGTGTATATTAAAGGGGAAGTTCATCCTAAAATGAAAACTTCACAACCTGTAGCGAAACTTGAATGCACTGATTCCAAGGGTGAAGGTCCCAGGGTGATCGGAGCAGCCGTTCCCGAGTTACACCTGCTTGAAGTTTTCACTTAACTTGGTGACATCGTGATGACGTCATTAACTTGACCAGGCTAGGTCGGATTTATGACGTCAGAGAGATAGACTTTGTATGGGAGTAGATGGGAAAAAACAATTTCTTTCTCGTTTCTCTGCAACGAACTTCATACGAGAATTTTTTCCATTCGGGATACCGGTAGGGTGCCATATTTCCCATACCGCAGTTTGAAAAACATCTGACTTCTTTGGGACAATGGAGAGTCAAAATACTGAAATTTCCCCATCTAATCCCATACAAAGTCTATCTCTCTGACGTCATAAATCCGGCCTAGTCTGATCAAGTTAATGACGTTATCATGATGTCACCAAATTGAGTGCAAACTTCAAGCTGGTATAACTGGGGAACGGCTGGTCCCACCAACCTGGAACCTTCACCGTTGGAATCAGTGCATTTTCACTACCAGCTGTGAAGTTTTCACTTTAGGGTGAATTTCCCCTTTAAAAAGATAACAGCAGTAGCATCTCCTTTGCTTGTCATCTGTGTGTATTTTGAAAAACACGCTATTAAAAACTGAGTGTTATCTCTGTTGCGTGTGGTCTGTACTTGCAGGCACCCGGAGCACCGTTGCAGTGCCAGGAGAACTTAAACCTTAGCATCTCAATCATCCAGCAGCTCAACCTGCCCACAGACAAGACCAAGTTCCTCACACAGATCATGGGTACAAGTAAGTCACAGGCTGCATGAGTCAAGGGATTGAAAATATCTTTGTTCGGATTCTTCAAGTTAGAGCTTCAGCGGCTAGAGGGAGGCGTTCAAAAAGGGAAAACCTGAAAATATTGACTGTGCCTTACAACCATCACATAGACTTCGTGAAAAGTTCATAACTGAGAGGCTGTCCCGCTGTGCAGATATGAATCACGTGCAGTCCACAGCCAGTATAGAAGAAATTGAGAGTATTTGTAGGACACGATTGATAGTCTTGATCTCAACCACATATGTGTCAAGAGCAGCACTGAACACTGAGTTCACATGTGTGCTGTTTGCTTAGCCTAGTAGAAAAATCAAAATCTCTTCAATAATCTGGCCAAGACAGGCCAGCAACAAGACAGATTTAAAACAAAAATCAATAGCACGTGCATTCGAATTAGTGGTGTAAAAAGGCAACGCATGTCGCTTCTCTGGCTCAAAGTTGAAAGAAGCTGCGTGAAAGTGTGCGTCGTGATTTGCCATGGCAAAAGTTATCGTTGTGCCGGCATTGTGAGCGGCAGTGAGCTTCAAGTTTATGTAAACAACAATTATAGCATTTGGGAAGTGTTATTGAAATTCTACAGGCTATGCTTTCATTAGCGTGCACACATGTTAGTGGTTATGGTACTGTAAGACCAGATACTTTAACGTCAATTAAAATTAAATCGCATCTCCAGATTTTTGTAGGTTAGTGAGGTGAAATTCTAACGATTTTTTGTCTCCGAACCGGCAAATAACTGTACATGTACATATCGTTGTGCGCATAACGACTTCAAATGGAAACGATTCTTCCAAATTCGTTGACTCGTTAGAATTAAATGTTCGTTAAAAATACTGGTCTTACAGTAGCTTGCAAACTATCTTGTACATGTAGAAATACAAAGGTAATACCGTTTGGAGTTGGAGTACGAATGACGAGCAGAGTTGCCAGTCTAGTATATCAGTAGTCGTTTGCTCACCAGTGCAGCCAGGCTTGTTTTGCACGATGCGGCTCCATGATGTACCTGTGTGTTCAAGTCTGGGCTTGGCAGTCGGGTAGCTGTCACAAGTTGTATGTGCCGGTAGCATCCATGGTGTGCACTGGATCTCCCCTATGATTGGTGCATGGCAGAAATGTTGGCTCATAGGCAACTTTCGTTCTCCGTCAGCAACTTGACAAAGCGACCCTTCTTGCATTTTAGTCTGCCACAGTTGAACTCTTGTCCTCCTTTGGGCCGTGTGCAATTTAGTTCTCTGGTCTTATCTCCATCGTAGAATATCTTTTCGCCAATGACGATTAGTTCCGGACCTTCTGGTGGAGGTCTGCAAACGTCCTTACCCTTCCTGTACTTTTTCACAGCCACCAAACCGGATTCTGCACTACATACATGTACCTGTATGTTGCCACAGCGCTCCCTTCCAGCAGGTATATTTGTGCCTTCGCAATAGTTCCGTCCATTTACACATTTCCGAGTACACGGTCTCTCAGATCTTTTGACTACCGGATGCTGTCCGTATATCGACGGTGTCTCTCCAGTGAGGGCATTGCTCTTGCTGTTATCTGCTGCACTTTCACCATCTGCCCTAGGTACATCCACAGGGAGTGCCAGCGTTTGGGTTTGTAGTACAGCACAGGTAATGAACAGCACAACGCTGAGAAGAAAAGTCTGTACACCAATCATTATTATAATTATTTTCAAAGTAGCTATGGCCAGCTAGTGACTCAACTTCGGGTATGACCTGTCTCTAGGATAGGTATCTGTGATATCAACTCCAAGAGAAGATCTCACCAACTGTGATGAAGAACGTGCTATCTGAGTGTCTTTATATACCCCCTTTGCAGCATAACATGTACGGCTGCTGTCCAACAGGTGCTAGTGGCCTCGGTGAGTGTGGCCTACTGAAAGTGCCTGCGCTATGTCATACTTCCCAAGGCTTCATCCACCAATTGGCACGCAGGCTTACTAGTAGCAGCATTTTGCCATTTTTGGCTGGCAGCCTTCAAAGGAAAGATTCCTGAGAAATGCTACCGTCACTTAAGCTACCCCCCCCCCCCCCCCTTCTTGCTGAAATCCATTCAAGGGTAAGTAACCCACAATTGTAGTTAGTTTCGTCACGTTCTCTATCTGTCATGGTGCGGCCATGGCATAGCAAGTCGGTGGAGCATATCGGATTGGTCAGGTGTGTCCGTATCTGCAAGGGCTATTCTGGGCCACAGCATGTCCTGGGCGTGACCCACTCCTTGATAGCCTCTACTGTAGACTTGTTTGTCTGGAGAGAGCACGTGTCACTGTCACGGTATGATACCTCTATTCCGTCATACCTGTACACATGGTGTTTTGTAACAATAATTGACTGGCTGTGCGTGGGAGTTTTGTTATAGGGTGAACATAGAGTTCGGAGATATCTCTATCATTCTGTGACACTGTGGATGTGTGGCCATCAGGGAGCCAGGCTCAATATCACCTGGTTTATGCGTGTAGCATGGCCATTCGGATCGGGAATATCCAATGCACTGCTCGTTGTTTGTATTGTATAAAAGTGCACAGTTAATGAAAATGATACGTGTAATAACTGTGTATATCCCGCCCTGTGTTCTATCTTGACACACTGACTCACTGCCGCTAAATGGGGGGTAGACCCAAGGACCGTGAACAACGCGGCGAAATGGCATTCATCATGTTCATGTAGCGGTCATAGTAAAGTCACAGCCGTGTACAATCCTAATAATATATTATTGTTCCACGTGGATGGGGCAGTTTGGAGACAAGCATACTGCGATGGTGCAGAGTAACTGTCACGGGACCGAAGTGTGCCGCTCTTTCGCTGGTTGATCACTACACACAGGGTAGGTAGCTAGCACCACCCTGGTCAAAGCATTATTCTGTGTGCAATCCCCCTCCCCCCCCCCCCTCCTCCCCCTGTAAAAGCTAATACTTCAAGCACCATGCTTCAGTGCCACCTTCTTATAGCGTGCTGGATGATGGCCAGGCTGCGGCCGGGCCAAGAAGTTCCAGGACCTACTAGTACTACTACTGAGTACTAGGTCTAGTTGCTGTTTACTTCAGAACACTTTGTACCCATGCACGTTTTTTTGCCAGGCTGCAATGTCGGGAGTGGCAGTGACCTACTACTAGTAGTTGAATTGCATGTAGCTCTCAAAACATTACAATTGCATGCACTTCAACTTGATGATGCCTTGTTGAACACTTCAAATTGATGGCAAGCATATTTTGAGTACTTCAAAAATGAAAGCCTTCCCTTAGCTTGCCTACCAGGCTGCACAGTGTTATCCAGTCAGAAAGACCGCCCTTCCTTTCATGGTGTTTATGTATGCAGAGGGGGCAATCCGGCACATGTACACTGAATACCGCCTTTGCAAATTTGGCAGATCTGAATCACGCTTTCGTGGTACATCATACACGGTATTTGGATGACCCAGAGGGTATTGGATTTTCGTGAGATTTTTGTAACTTTATAGTACTCGTGATGATTTGCAGTTGCGGCCTTTGCAGATTTCTTGCTCAGGCACTACCACAGGCTTTAGCAACAAGTTGCTTTTGAACTTCAGTCGTGTAACTCCTGTGCCGCGTACACATTTTCCGTGTCTAGTTAGTACAGTAGTAACCCGGATGCACATTGTCTCCATTCAGTCACATGCTAAGTATTTTGGGTGAAAGTTTATGTCGATTTATTAAAGCATAATATAAATGATCCTTCAGTTTCGGCAGTCTAGTCTGTTTGTCCAGGGTGATGTGTGGCACTTGGCAGAGGAAGTGTGTGAAGAGACACACTTTCCAAGTAATGAGGAAGTGTGCAGGGGTTGCACCTCTGTCGGAAATTGCTTTTAGGGCCGAACATCATGTACTGGAACACTGACGTACCACTGTTGTAGCTTGCATTACAATGGTCAGATTCGCTGTCTACTGTCAAAGTGTGTATGTGACACGCATCAAGGCAATCTGTGCTGGTAATCCATCCTTGTTTTCTTAGCTTGTTAGGCAATACGTTCTATATGTGGGGTACTAGCAGAGTCTGTTGAAGAATTTCGGTTTTGAGGGTGCTAGTACAATGTAACCATCTTCCGCACCATCCAACCATTCCAAGAGCACTAGGCCACTACATAATCATGCTGCAAGTACGTGGTTTGATGTCTTGACACATAATAACACTGTACTAGCGGCTGGGTGGGCCATGCAGGGTTATGTATCATTGCTAATAGTTGCATGTACATGGGGCAATCATCAGTCAGACATCCATACAATTTGGAGACTGATAGAAATAGTCCTGACTCCCCCCCCCCCTCCCTCTCTCATCTCCCTCTCCATCTCTCCCTACCTCTTCCCTCTCCTGTCCTCCTTCTCTCTCCTCCCTCCTACGCTCCCTCTCCTCCTCGTTTTCTCGTTCTCTCCCCTCCCTCCCTCCCTCCCTCCCTCCCTCCCTCTCTCTCTCTCTCTCTCTCTCTCTCTCTCTCTCTCTCTCTCTCTCTCTCTCTCTCTCTCTCTCTCTCTCTCTCTCTCTCTTTCTCTTTCTTTTTTTCTTTCTCACTATCCCAGCCCCCTCTCCTCACTTGCAATCTCCTAAGCTACAATACCTAGTGCTGGCAGCTCAACATTCCCATCCGTTCTCTTGCATATATACCGACATGGTCACCACTAGCTCACTCCCATACTGCCTGATGACAGAGAGAGCAGGCTACTCGGAATGTCACCAAGTACAGCATGCCTGCATTTTCACAATGGCTCAACTGCACAGACAGTAGTACGCTCATCATAGACAGAAGTCCTCTCATAGACAATATTGCATCCATAGACAGTAGTAGTACACTCATAGACAGTGGCAGTACATGAACAATAAGAATAGTCTGGGTTACGACGTGTCAAGAAGAGTGCATTAAAAATAAAGTTCAGATACGCAGAGTTGTTTGGTTGGTAAGTCAGCTCAAGCTCATGGAAAGCGCAGCCTGATATGCCGAGCCATGCAGATCAGACACAAGCC